GGACCACCAGGTCCACCTGGTCCAGCCGGAGACAAAGGTCAGTTTTAGTGATTAACACGCAACTCATTTGCGATATCAACTCGCATCTCGGCACACCATCCAAAAATCACCTAGAGAAGAGCACACTGTTGGATTTGATGTTTAGAGAATATCATATCATCATCATGTCCGTCCCAAACTCATCATCAGAAACTGAGATATACATCAACTAACGGAAATCTAGTTTGCGAGACTCATCCTCATCCATCAACCCATCCGTCCGTGAGTGTCTTCTGTCTGTCCATGCATCTTCCGGTTGTCACAATTGCAATGCACACATTACGACAACTTTAAAGTTGCAAACTTCTTTTCATGATTTGAAAAATAACGAACGACAACAATGAGGACAACAACAGATCTATCCTAATGGTCGGTCATATCAATAAAAGTGCATTTGAGTGCGAGACAGACGGGTTACTGAACTCGTTTTTGCCATATCACAATGATGAGTGAGTGCATTCAGTGGAGACGTCAATTAGTTTCATCATCATCACATCAACAATATCTTCTTGAGTGCACCGCGACAATTATTGCTAATGGGTGTGACGAAGCGAATTTCCTTCGCTGCTTTTTCATAGTTGTCATAGAAATGTGCGAGTGAGTGCATTTCATCGAAGCGGTAACGTCACCGGAACGCCATTCGAAAATTACAATTAGAAATGTACGAATGCGCAGAAACAAATACCATTAACCTGCACAACAACACACACCCCTGCGCAGAATCCGTATACAAGGGCGAGATGAACCTCGGAGAAAAAAGTTTTGTTTGAGTGACATTATCGAGTTGGTGGTCAACATCCAGCCAGCATAGACGTGATATCAGTTTAGAATAGAAACGAATCAACGATAAATTTCGATAAAGCAAAATAACTACGCAGATTCAAGATGATTCAAGGCCTGGCAAAATTTCTGCAAGAGAGCAAACACTGTGGTGCAAGCATAAAGTAGTCGCTAATAAAAAAGAAAACTTTAGGACCACCTGGACCTCAAGGCCAACCTGGACGTGGAGGCAATCAAGGTAACAATGGACGACCAGGACCACCTGGACCACCGGGACCACCCGGACAACCTGGTCCAGACGGTATGCCAGGCGAGCCAGGTCGTAACGCCATGAACTCACCATCAATGCCCGGAGATCCTGGACCACCTGGACAAGACGTAAGTTAGGAGAGAAATGAGATAGTGGACTCAAACAATAGAACGGAATACTGTTGTTTATGGGCCATTAGACTTACTGCGATTTTGCTCAAAAGTTATAAATGGAAATCACCAAATTACAAATCAAAAATCCCAACAAAAATTGATCAGAACCATATTGCACAATTGAGATCAAATCATTCCAATACGAAAACTCAGTTATTCCTTTATGTTCATGGAAGAGAACAAACAGACTTAGTAAGATATACTAAACATTATTGGTTTATAGGGAGCACCCGGAGAGCCCGGAGATATGGGACCACAAGGACCACCTGGACAGCCTGGACATCCAGGACAACGTGGCCCACCCGGTCCACCTGGACCACCTGGAGAGGCTGGNTAATTTTCGTTATCAGCTTATCGCAATCAATTCATAAATGCCCGAATAAATACTTCGGACTGGATGAGGTTGATTCGTTCACGAATCGAACTCAAAATCGAATACTCCTTAAAATGGCTGGCTCAAATCCGTTTCGACATCAATCTGATAATGCATTTTCTTTCAGATAACAACACCGAATCAACACTTCAATCAGTTTTCTTCCTCTCTTTTATTTCACTTCAATTACGCTGCATTGTAACCACCACCAGTTGAAATACACTCTCAAAACCTAACATTTGCTTCTCAAATGAATATAGTGACAGTTTTCACTAAAAATCATCATTCCCCAATTACGTAATGTTGCTATCCTCTACTAAACTCTCTCTGAAACGAATAAATAAAGAGTTCACTATCCGCAATAATAATGTTTCGAATGTTGCTCTTCTCAAACAAGTTCATTTGATCATCACGTAAAGATGCGTGCATTTTATAATTCACAGCGAATCGGGAAACTCATATTTCATAAAATTAAAAAATAAATAAATCATTAAATCATTAAAAGAAGCGGAACCGTTTGCCACTCACAAAAAATTCGCAACATTTGTCATTGCGCATTTTCGTCAGTTTTGTTTTGTTCTGAAGAGAAAACGGCAACAAAATGAAAACATAAATCACGATTAGTCACAGTTCGGGAACGCAACTATCATAACGCCAGAGCTACCACCAGAATCCCCCGTGCGATGTTTCAATCTTCGAAGATGGCACCGATGATGTATGCAAAGTTACAAAAACCGATAAATCTTCACAACTATCACACACTATCAACAAATCCTTCAGCTTCGAATTCGATCGCCAGAAATTACTAGCAAACTGAATTCCCTAATCAACAGTATGTTTTTCTTTTGTTCTTAACGATAGATCAACTGTAATTACGACATACTGCAGAGTCATCCTTAAGCATTCACATACACACATACACATACCATAACTGACTCAATCAGGTTTTCCATAATAAGAGTATGCGTGCGTTACACGCATATCGTTTTCTTCAACAACACTAATTAAACATCAGAACGTTATCAAGCGTAATCATTAATTAAAATTTGTACACACAATACAATCCATACGACACGTTCATCAAGGTATCACTAAAAATTAAAGGTAATACATATTAAACATACGTATACCTATACAATTCCACTCATAAATCAACAACAACATGGATCAACCACTGATCAACCACACTGATATGTGATATGGATGAATATCTTAGATGATGTTACTGACACGAAATGTCTTCGAAACATAAGATGTTGAATAGAAATGACAACTATTCAAGACACTACAGTTCATTTGAACTAGTCTCGAAAATCGAGTCAAGTGCAAACTAGCCAAGAAAAACTCCATAAAATGGCGGCATATGTTATTAAAGCAAAGCGAAATCTTCAAAGGTTCAGCAGCCATGAAAATGAAAATTTTATCATTCAGTCAAAAAGCAAACCAACGACTTCAGCAAAGTTGATTCCATANCCGATCGCAAACCCGTCGAAGGCCCCCGCAACTCTGCAGGGGCCCTCGACCCAACAACTCAATTCCATATCCAAATTCGGTCACACCAATTTCGTTTCGATTAACTAGAATAAAATCATCGTGTGTCCGGTCCGATCCCACTGATGCAATGTTTTGTAATTGTTCATTGGCAGAAAGAATTGAAAGAAGAAACAATTTCAACAAACAATAATTTCGTCACATCTTTTCATATTTCTCTTTTTTTCTTCCCATCACCAAACCGCTTTCCAAGATTTCACCTTCTCCGCAAAATGTACCGCAAACCAAACAAGAACCACCTTGTTTGAGGTAGTTTTTTGAAGAGGAGTGAATGAAATGAATGGTTCGAGTTCGGTCTCCACTAAAAACTATTCTTCAAATATGAATGACCAACAAGTTGGTGACAGTTTTTCTTCAAGCAGCAAAAAGATTAATTCGATTTCTCTGCATTGACTCGAAAAAAAACAACAACAATTTGCATTGATTGAAATGTTAATTTGAAATGTCTGCTGAATGTCCAATGCAACATGTTAAATGGATTAATGATTTAAAGTGTTGGGTTACGATGACGATAATGCATTCACGGATAAAGAAACACAGTACCAGAAAGAAGCATCCATCTTAAAAGGAACGTCCAGCATACAAGAAGCTAGTGAACGAGTGCGTGAATAAT